ACCAGAAACAACATCACCGTCAATATTTTGTAAGCCAGAAAGAAAATCGCCCAAAATTTCAGGTTTTGGTGTTGTAACTTCGAGTATTGGTTTCGAAAAACTAATATAATTGTTGCTATTGGAACCACCACCATTAGCATGAGATGATGTGCGTGGTGTAATTGTAATTATTTCTGGTGCATGAATAGAATGGCGCCATGTTTTTTTATTATTAGTGTGATTATTATTATTGCCATAGCTATTACAACTTTGTAAAGAATTAGACCTTGATTGTGATGATCTGATTAATGGCAATGGTGCAGCAACGTCACCGTCATCATCATTATTATTTGATGTATCAGATATTGTTGGTAAAGCTTTTGAGGATAATGAAGGGCTGGGTGGTAATAAAGAGGCTGATGATGATGATTGATGTTCAAGCAAGTATGTTGGTAATGTATTATTTTCACTATTATTATTATTATTATTCTCACTGTTATTATTGTTGTTGTTGTTGTTGTTGTTGTTGTTGTTGTTGTTGTTGTTGTTATTGTGATTGAATGAACATTGATCATTGTCAATACTAGTACGTGGTTGAGGGCTACGCGAAGGAACTAATAAAATTTGTGGTTTTATAACTAGACCACCAGGTGCAATTGAAGATCTTCTTCTTCTTACTGATGGTTGCGGTGGTTGATGAACATCATGATGGTTATCTTCTATAGTAGGCACACAAAATGGGCTATTATTATTTGAATTGTAATAATAATTATCAAAAGACAACTTTCCACTTGAAGTGGTTGAGGTGAATGATGATGAAGAGGAATTGATTTCATCGCTGTGTGAATTACGATTTCTATTACTATTAACAATCGCTGAAGGACTTGTTCTTGAACTGGTAGTTGAAGTAAATGACCTTGCAGGTGATTTATCACGTCTATTGTTTGATGATGATTGTGACGATGTAGTAGGAGTTGTAACGGAATAATTTGAGGAATGATTGGTTGATACGTTATTGTTAATATTCGGATTATTTAATTGTGACGAGATTATTGGCGAAGAAGGTGTGGATATTGAAGTTGCACGACTGCGTATACGATTAGATGAATTGATTAACGGTGATGGAAATTTAAATGATGAATGGGAAGATGAGATTGATGAGATTGATGATGTGGTGGATATAGCATCGTGAATTGACAATGGGTCTGATTTAATAAATTCTGTCGAGGCTTGTAATGTAGTCAAAGCAAAGCTGCAAAATATACATGTGTAGATATAACGTAGATAAACGTTGAAACGCAATATATATTTATATAAAATATATCAATAAATGATGATGACGTTGATGATGATGACGATTTACCTTAATTCCGATCTCTCAATTTTTGATAAACGAAAAGTCCTCATGTAGAATAAAACGCTTGCCAAATGATTTAATCTACTATTAACAATCACATATGCAAGTAATGGTATGAAATCATCAGTGGTAATTAATGACCCTTCATCTTGACTATCATAATTACTATTACTACTATTACTACTACTACTATTATTATTGTTGTTATTGTTGTTATTATTATTATTATTATTATTATTATTATTATTTATCGATGTTGGTATCGACGTTAGTGACTTGGATGTATTAGTGTAATCATTAATTTTGTTAATATTGTAACCATTAATTTTATTAAATGATTTTGATGATGACGATGATTCGATTCGATCTATAAATCTTTCAAATCTTTTGCCATCACTATTAGGTATTTCTCTTACCAAATCAATGCATCCTATTCTAAAAGGTGAAACATTCGGATCACTTAATTGTCGATTTTTACTTGAAGACCCATTTCTAATACGATTATTTATAAGCTCATCATCTTCAAAGAAATCATATTCTTCATTATCATCATCGTTGTTATTGAAAATATCTTTTGCTCTTGCTTTACCTTTCTTATTCTTTTTAGATAATGTTGATTTTTTTTTTTTTTTGATTTTAATTGGATCCTGACTTTCATATGAATTCTGAAATATAACTGGAAAATTGTAATCACCAAATCTACCCAACCTTCTACTATAATCATACATTGTTTCAACTTCATCGTCTGGCGTTGGATCTGGAAAATTTAAACTATTTTTATCATCGTCGTCCGCTCTTTCTGAAGATAATGATGAACGTGAGTTATTAGGTCCAGGCAACCAATATTTTCCTGACCCACCACCCGTAAATCTTAATCCGGCCATAATTCTTGCTGTCCGACTAGGGCCTATATATGCCATGCCTTCTGCTGGTTCAAATGTTCTATAATTGAATCTCGAGCCTCTGATTGTTTCTAATGTGTCTTCAAGAACATCTTTGAATCCCATACAATCTTTAAATGCATATCTGATTGGCATACGACCTGATCTATAGTTAGGATCAATATAATCTTTGAATGAAAATGCATACCAATGCGCTATTGATCCCATAACCATTTCAAACGTTATTAAAAAATCTTGAATTGATACAGAAATACCCTCGGCTGAGTCAGTTGTAGCTATATAAAAAAAAAGCAAATAATTAATAAAGAATAAAATGCTTAGGATAAAACAATAATAGTATTAATAAGATATATATATATATACTATCATGAATGATTCCGGCATATACAAGTATTGAAAGTATGAATCCTTGCCAAAATGAAAAGAAAATAACAGCCTTTACACAAAGGAATTTTGGTATTGGTCTAAAATCAATTATTATAATTATAGTTATTAATATTAACAATAACATATATTATGCAAAAAAAAAGTAAATATTTACCTGTAAGGTCTCAAATCATCCTTTGTACAAACATAGAAAATAATCAAACAATAAAAACATAATGAACAACTGACATTATATATCAAAGATATATAAATGTATCCATTCGTTATACCTATATGACCATCTTGATAAGTATTTGCCCATTTTAGAAGCATTGTAAGTAATGACAAAATTGGTTTCACATAAACATATTGGAGTATTCCTCTTTTAATAAATAAAAATGCGTATGGATCACCAATATCTATGTCTCTTAGGAAAAAATTAACTGGAAATAGATGTGGAGTTGGTGGTCGACCATGTAGTAATATTAATAATGATCTTTCACCTCCCAGACAATTAACAAGAAGATTAAAAAAACAATATATTACAAATGCCTATTAATTATTAATATGTATTATTTAAAAAAATAATATATCATGTGTAAGCATTAAATTTAATAAAATCTTTTGAATTGAATTTAGATTATTTACCTCGTAAATATCTCTTATAGCATCAACGTAGAATGCCGCATTCGTTGATGTTAAACTAATCCATGATGATATAGCATAAATAGGTACCCTAAAAGAAACAAAAAGAACAATTTATATTTTATAAATAAATGATATTTATATAATTTTTAAAAAACTTTATCATTAAATTCAATTGATCAGAAAATTTATTTAAATTATTACATTATTATAATTCGCACCACATATCGTTGTAATGCCTAAAATTTATTATAAATGAAAAATTAAACATTGCAAAGAAACATATCACAATAATCATTGGTTTATTTTAATTTTATATATAAATATTAAACTTACTGGTTTTCTATAGTTTTTTAAATGCGACCAAATAGACATCGTTGACAACAAAGTTGCAGTAACAGCAAAAAGTCCTGCGACTATACGAATTATTTCACCATGTGCAAAGTTGTCGGAAGAGCCTCCACCATTGTCTTTATCAGCATTTGTTTGTGTTGTATTTGAAAGAAAATCTGAAACCATTTATATTTACTCTATTATTTTTTCTAAATAAAATAATAATTCACAAGTAGAGTTTCTTTTTTGATTCACACACAGTCTATTAAATCATATAAATATATATAAATTATTTTTTTTTGAACAATTTACAATTTAATATTAAGGAATTTAAGGGGTAACTTATCAATATTAAATATTTTTAGGATGTAGGGACGATGATCTTTGGTGAAATATCCTATTGTAGAATTAAAGGTGGGAAGAATTGCAAATTGTGCGAAGGGAGAAGAAGAGCGAGAAGTTATAGTGGAAGGAGG